GCCACGGGTGTCGCGCCCCCCGCCTCCCCGGGCGCTGCTGGCGTGTGGTGGCTGGCGTTGTTTGAGCAGTTCACCCTCCCGTGGACGAGCACAACGGTCCTGACCTCCGAGGTTCCCTACCTCGTCCCTGCGCTGGTGCTTACACCTACCGCAGGCAGTGTCTGGACCTCCTGTGCTGGCCTTGCTGAGGTGTCAGTGTTTTGTTTCCTCTCTGTAGCAGCATGGTAGTTTGGTTTAGAGACCCACTCTTCAAGCTCTGCTCTGAGAGTAAGCCTTTTTTCCCCGCATCGGATTTTATTTTAGTACCCCGGTAGGATTGAAACCTCAGGGAAGGGGAAGTTAGTGACACCATGTTGTGGGTGGTCAAAGAAAAAGCAGCCGTTGATGTCAAAATGGCAAGTAGGTCTCGTTGCGTGGTTGGAGAGGCCAACCGTAGAGCGTTAGTGAGCTGGGTTTCAAACTGCCTTGCTCTAACCACATAAACTAAATACCAAAAACTTTCCCATGGAGTCCACGCCACCATTAGACGTGGTTTACTGTGCTAGCGATGTGAAGTGTTTCCGATGCACGAGAGAAGGAGGTATGAAACTCCTCCTTGAAACCAAAGCTATTTTTAACTTGCTGGTGCTTGGTATACGTCTTATAATTTGCTCTTGATGTCTTTCACCCCTGGAATATATAGTCTCAGGATGTTGTGGGGGAACAGAGGAAACGCATTCTGCCCTTTTTGCATCCTTTAAGAAGTCGCAACTACTCACGATATATGGGATCCTAAGAGAGAACCAAGAATCCGTCAAAGCGATTTGCTGAAAAAATGAAGGATGAAATGCATGGATGCAGAACTGGGTGATTTCCTGGAGCCACTGAAATGAATATCAGAATTACAAACTTAATAAGATCATCTAAATGTTCTTTAAATTGTCTTTCCCATCCTTCATACCTGCTCCAGATTGTCTTTCTTGTATATACTTTTAATTGTTAATGACTCATTATTCTTCAAAAAAAAAGTTCATTTATTGCAGGTATCATTGCTCTTAGCTCTACAGTTTGCCAGAGGAAATGTAATTTTTGTAAACCTTGTTCAGTTTCTGAATTTGCATTTTTCATCTCTATGCTAATTGAATAGGTTTATGTCTTGCTGGTTGCTAGTGTATTATAAAGAAACAATGCCACTATAAAATGATTGATAGGAAGCAAAGAGCACAATTCTGACATTATTTTGCTTTATTTATGTGAAGGGACCTGATTTTCAGCCTGGTTTCATAAAGGAAACGTAGCTTTTGCCATCATGCTATCTGTTTGTCCGTCTGTTCAATCATCTTCCTGTCCGTATCCTTTCCTCACCAAAGCTGTGTTCTGAAATCACTCCTGCTACCTGGAGATGTCTGGATGTTCCTCTTTTTTTACTCCAGCTTAGCTACCAGAAAACAAGAAAAAACACTGAAAGGGTAGCATTTACTGTTCAGTTTAGCTACCTTGCAGGGGACTTACTGCCACTCCAGCAGTCTAAAGCTTTTATGTCACTGAGAATTGGATTTATGCTCACTCCTTGCTTGTGAACCCAGAGTTTTTTTTTTCTGAACCTAAGAGCAGAAAGCAAACTGCTATCTCAAATCCTATCCTGCTCTTCCCATCCTCCCTAGACTGCCCAAAATACAAAGCATTAGATGACTTGGCAACAGTTTAAAATCAAGACAGAGCAAGAAAAAAAGGCAGGCCAGAGAGCCCCAGTTGCTACAGGTTAAATTGTACATTGATGTCTTAATACATGACGTTCCACCACTCAGTAGGTGCCAGTGTTTCAATTTTACCAGAGCGCATGACTGGTAGATTTTGTAAATGATCTTCTATTGAATTCTCTTCCAGCAAGCACTAGTTAAGCTTTGTGGTCTCTCTGTACTTAATCTGGGTGGTTAACAAGTGCGAGAAGTGACTAGTACTGTATCATGAGGACTGTAAAAATTATTTGCTACTTCATGTTGACTGTTCTTTTTGATAAAGCCGGGAGGTTAATGGTTATGTTAGGTTAGGTGAGTGTTTCTCCTTCAGATCTAGTCTAGTAAAACAGTAGTGCTTATCTTTTAAAGTGATTTGGCATCATACTGTTTTCTTTGTGTAAATGATGGGTGGAGTAGGAGGGAACAGGGAAAAATAATACATAGTTTAAAAAGATAATTGTAAACATAGCCTCTGCCTTTCATAATATTTTAGGAAATAATGTAGGAGGGCTAGAAACCCCGCAAGTTTATTCTCAATATTCTGCGGAAGTCTTATGAAGTGTAACACTAAAGAATAATTTCCTGAAGCATTTATACAGTACCTACATCTCACGAGCATGTGTTGAAACCTTCCCTTCCTGCCACAAACACCCCCGCACATAAACACTGGTTAAAATGCACTAGTATGAAAAGGTAGGCCATTCTTGTATTTCTCTCAAAACACGTATGCTGCTAGATACCAGGACTTAAATTTCATTCGAGCAATGTATTTCCTACATGATATTTTTGCAACTGATAATTTCAAAATACTTGATTAAAGAAATTCAACTAGAAGAAGGAAACACGCTTAAGTAGATTTTCTTTCAGGTTTCTACTGGGCAATTAATCGAAAAGTTCAGTCCAGCCACAAAACCAGAACTGAAGAAAAACTTACTCTTCCCCCAAAGATGCAAGCTTGTTTGCCTATCCTACATACTAGCCAGAAGGTGTGAAGACACAGAGGATGGCATTCAGACTATCTGCAGGGATCACTAATTCCTGCTCCACATTGCACTAATGTCTCCATGCAGATAACAGCCAGAGTTGACTTGTGTCTAGCTCATTTGAAAGAAGTGAGCACCTTCTGCAGAATACAGGGTGTACTCACCAAATGAAATAGAAAGTGTGGCTAATTAATTTTTGCATGCCTTGGTGAGGTCACGATTATGTAGAGATCAGCCTAACTGCCCAATGAAGCCTATCATCAGTTAAGGGAAAGATTAATTTCATCCCTTTGGTTTTTTTTCAGAGAGCTATCTAGTCTTCCTAAGGCAGTTGTACAGTGGCCTAGAACAGGCACTAATAATTACAGTTCTCCCATGTGATAGAGTAATTGAACTCTCTGTGAGAGACAGTACAGCTGACGTTGATGGGCTGATAAGGATACTGACTTACGCATCTGCCTTTAGTGCACAATGAACCTCATCTCTTCCAGTCATTAAGTGGGCATGGATTAACTGGCAAGGTCATACTGGTAAAAGGACATTACTGTGCTTATAAAATAAGTGGTTTTCCAGTTACAAAATAGTTCTTAAGAAAGTCTCTGCATATTCAGTCCCCTCTTTTCAAACTGGCTTTGTACTCTGTGGAATGTATTGTCCAAGAGAGTCTTTAAAAGCATTTCTGCAGTTAAAGTTGAGAACCTGGATCATTCCTCAGGAAAAAGTGAGAAAAGAGGAAGAATCAATAACTATATTACACTGTGTGTTTGATGGTTGCCATCTCTGCCTGGCACACACTGGAGACTGGATAAGAAAGCTGTGAAGCTAAAAGCATATGTTGCTGCAAGTTGCTTTGAACTAAAATATCTTTGAGTTAAAGAATTAAAGCTCACTGGCTGCATACTGGAGCACACCTTTACCTTCTGGAGACTGGATACAGGAAGAGTTCTGCAAGGTCTGGCACAGTTTATTTAAAAATCCATGCCCAAATGGCAGCAATGAACCCCACAGCTGCTGTGGCCTGTGATCAACAGGGACAAAGCCTGCTTTGGTCTTTGACCGGGTTTGTCCTCCTCTGTAGAACATCCCTATAATACAGAATGAGATGGAAAACAGGTGATTTGGGCAGCTGGTAAAATACACAACCTCAAGGAAATTATGACAGTGGGGAAGACTATAGCTCCCATTTAGCTGAGGGAGTTTCTTCTCACTAGGTAAGAAGGTGAGGGTGACTGAGCACTGGCACAGGTTGCCCAGAGAGGTTGTGGAGTCTCCTTCCCTGGAGTTATTCAAAACCCGTCTGGATGTGATGCTGGGCAATATGCTCTAGAGGACCCTGCTTGAGCAGGGGGGTTGGACTAGATGATCTCCAGAGGTCCCTGCCAACCTCAGTCATTCTGTGAATCTGTGAACCAGTAAATCCATGCTTGGACTATAGCTTGTTAAGATATGCAGGAAGATGACTAAGCCTGAGGTTTAACTGACTGAATAGGCCATGAGAAACTGCTCGACGTAAAAGATCGAACAGAGCGACAAGCTGATAAACGTCACAGCACCGTGAGAGGTGCTCAGAGTTCCCAGATGGTTAAGGAGACCAAATGGTTATGTGAGAGACAGCCAAGCTTCGCAGACAGCTGAATGGGAATTTTGGGTACCATCGGGGCAAAGAAGTCAGCAAGGCCTCTGCAAAGCACTCTGCCAGGAGTGCCTAGGTAACCATGTTAGTAATACTAAGTAAGGCTGAGATTACATAGGTAACAGTATCAGAAATACCAAATTTGGGTGCAGATGTAGCAAAACTAGACCAATGGGGAAAAAGTAATTAGAAGTAGGCTATTTGGGAGGAGACAGGGATGGAGAAAGGGAGAGATCAAGGTGAACAGAGGAAAAAATAGGCATAGAGAAAAAGGAGTATAAAAGAGGCTAGTCAAGAGTAAGCAAGCTGCTGGTTAGTACGCTTGTTTGACCCTGTGCTTGATCACCACCTGGACTAGCTGGTGAGTATGAGGAGACCCACAGCTGGAAAGATCTGTCTGCTCAAGTCTGAGCAGATGACTAGGTAATGGGCCCAGGATCTGGGCAGGGATATTAGGCAGACTGAAAACCAGTGGTAATATGTGAGTGGTCCATGAGTGTGGGTGTGTTTGTGAATCAAGAGAGTGATAGTGTGTGCACGATTCATTCATGAACATCAGTCCTCATCAACTGGACAGGGGGAACGGGATCAGACTGTGTTAATCATGTTTATATGAGCGCTCTTTTGTGTTTTTGTGGGTGCCAGTAAATGCTCTGTAGTTTGGCTGTGTTGGCTCTGTGTGTGTGTACCTATTGGGAGCACATGCTCAGCTTCAGTACCGGAAGGACCTGCAAATAGAAACTGCAGCACCCTTCATCTATGACGCTGGGGTATGAACAGTCAGAGCCTGTGACACCAGAATGTGCTGGGGAGAATTAGTTGAGGGAAGAGAGTGAAGCAGCTTGAGCTAAGATTTCAGCTAAATTTTCTGCCCACACCTGTCTTTTAAGAAAAATACCATTGGAAAAGCTACCTGAAAGCATACCCAGAGGAGAGCAGCTCAGCAGCAAATGTGATTTCCGTTGGGGCTTTATTTTTACTCAGTTTGTGCTCCTGCCCTGCCCGGAACTTTGTACTTCAATATACTTCTGGTTCAAGTGACTAGTGCCTATGCCATTCAAATGCTGAGTGTCTCCATGAAGAAAACTACCACTATCTCCAAATTTTATCAGATTCAGGATTCAAAGCAGAATGGATGTACATGTACATGGAGACTTTTTTTTGCCTGTAACTCAAGTCTGCAACAGCTATGGAATATGGAAAAATCAAGCCCAAATGACATAGGAGAGAAAAATGACCTAATGTCCTGCATAGAACAGACGCTATTGGTTCTCTATTTTCGACCTTTGCAAGGCTGCAAAGTCTTTTGCACTTGCAAATATAGCGGTTGCCCTTAGGAAAGGAGACAGCCTCCTCCTGCAATAGAGCAAGCAGCACTGTTCCATCACAGGCTGAAGAGGACAATTTTTGCGGGTGTCGCCACTGATTTCAAACTATGGGGAAGCCACAGGTTGGAGTATCACTTCTTGCTGCACCATCCCTGCTGCCTTTCCAGTCATGTCTGCACACCATCTTCTGTTAAGAGGAGATGGATCAACTGTCACTGGAAGAGGGTGAGTTTGCCCCAGCCCAGTAATTGAAGAGTCTCAGTTCCTTTGAGACAATGCTCTCTCCTCATGCATATAAGGCAGGAGAGATTTCTGTCTCACAGAATCACAGAATCGTTTAGGTTGGAAGGGACCTCTGGAGATCATCTAGACCAACCTCCCTGTTCAAGCAGGGTCACCTAGAGCATATTGCCCAGGATCACATCCAGACGGGTTTTGAATATCTCCAGCGAAGGAGACTCCACTACCTCTCTGGGCAACCTGTTCCAATGTTCTGTCACCCTCACAGTCAAGAAGTTTTTTCTCAGGTTTAGGTGGAACTTCCTGTGGTTCAGTTTCTGCCCGTTGCCTCTTGTCCTGTTGCTGGGCACCACGGAGAAGAGGCTGGCCTCATCCTCTTGACACTCCCCCTTCAGATACTTGGACACGTTGATGAGATCGCCTCTCAATCTTCTCTTCTCCAGGCTGAACAGGCCCAGCTCTTGCAGCCTTTCTTCCTAGGAGAGGTGCTCCAGCCCTCTAATCATCTTGGTAGCCCTCTGCTGGACTCTCTCCAGGAGTGCCATGTCTCTCTTGGACTGGGGAGCCCAGAACTGGACACAGTACTCCAGGTGAGGCCTCCCCAGGGCTGAGGAGAGGGGCAGGATCACCTTCCTCCACCTGCTGGCAATACTCTGCCTAATGCACCCCAGGAGACCATTGGCCTTCTTGGCCACAAGGGCACATTGCTGGCTCATGTTTAACTTGTTGTCCACAAGGGGTCTCCTCCCGCATGGCTCATCCACTACTCATTTGTCAAATGTATGCACTGTTTCATGCACCCTAACTGGAGGCAGTAGGGAGTATCAGGCATCCACCTATACCAGCTTCTCAGATTCAGGATTCAGACTCAGATAAGAAGACTTTACTTACTCCTCTGCTTCCATGAATATTAAGATGATCTAAAACTTGAGTCCTTAGCTGAGTTTCTGCAGCAAGAATCTCATATAGTTAAGGCTTTTGCAACTGAAGGCTGCCCCTTTTTTCCTAACCCCCAAGGGGTTTCGAGTATTTGTCTTCCCCTTTCCTAAGAAATTTATTTCTAGAAGCCTGCAGACTTTCCAGAGACCTCATTCACAGCTGGTACAATATAACAGCAACTCATTTACTGTGACGTGTCTTGCTGAAATGCTCCTCCCTTCTGGCTGGTCAGAAGGGAATCCTCTGGCTCTCACTGATGAGCAGAGAATCCTACAGTCATCAGTCAGATGCTCAGGGGACTGCTTGCTCCTTGTGAGGATGGACATTCCTGGGCCAGTTAAAAATGGAAGCAAGTAAATCAGAAAACACCCTAATTTGATGAGTGAGGGGTCAACATTTTATACAACAACCAACCATGCAGCAAAGCCTGGAGACTGGCCTGCAAAATGGGGGATCAGCGGGATCAAAAAGGGTTTCCTATGCGACTCTGGATAAGTCATTTAATTGCTCTACATTTTAGTTCCTCTCTGGGAATAATAATAATTGTCCTTGGTCTGCTTTATTTCAGTAGGTTGGAATTGGGGCAGGGACTGCCTTTCACTGCAATTCTTCCTGGGATCTCTAATTCTAGCATAATCTTCAGCCTGCAGGAAACATTTTCATGACTAAGGAGTGAGAGGAAGAGTAGCCATTTTCACTCACACACCCAAATACACAAAAATACTCACGTGAGGAATTATACAGTATATCTATGTGTATATATATATCTATATATAGTTTATTTCTCACAATCCTGGTAAGAGTTACAGGTGTATTGGGAATCATTTACAGTTTCACAGCATATGGAGTGGCCATACAGCTTCTGATGTGAGTAACATACAGTGTGTAGAGAGCACACGTTTCCAACCCATCCACCCACCATTCATACAATGGGTTTTCAAAGCTCATACTAGATTCAGCTACGTAGAAAGCCTGGAAAATGTTAGGGTACAGCGTTGGGTGTCATACAACACTGTCAGTCACAATGGGACAAGCTAAACTACTTTAATTTTCAATCTAGTATTTCTAGTCTACCTGCATTATTGCATTTATACGCTTTTTTTTTTATTAAAGTAAATAGAATACTATATGGGAAAGGAAAAATTCTTGACTATTTTAGGATTTGAGCTGCAGCCCATACAAAGTGTCCATAGAAGCATAGACAAGATTATAAATTCAACAAGGTATAAATTAGCTGTATAGCTTTGTGTGTAGGTAGGTGTCCATTTCCCTCCAGGAAATGTATCTAGCAGCATATTGTTTTTGAAAATAAAAAAACAAACCTGTATGTTGAACACAGGTAAATATGTGTAAGTGACAAGCACGTCTGTTTGTACAGGGAAGAAATCAAGGTATCACTCTGAAAATTACTATTAATTGGAAATCACATTCAGAGTCTGATTCAAAAGATGATATCAGTGGAAAGATGCCTGTGACTTCAAACATGGCGTCAGGCATTTCCCCGCCAATAATATCCGAGCCTTTCCATTTGACTTCCAAAGGGCTTTGGATCAGTCCCTGAAAAAGTAATTGAATCGAAGCAAAACAAAAGAAAAAAATCCCCTGTAATCTGACCTTCGAGTTCCCTTTCTACATTTTACTTTCTCTGCAAGTTTGTAAACAACCTGCTCCTACCATGAGAAGAGAGTTGATTGTTACTGGAGAGTTGAGATTGCAACTTTAAAAGATTCCAACTGAAAGTATCCTAACCAGTGACTCAGGAAAAGGCACCAGGGTTAACAAGGGCTGCCCAAAAATTAATAAAGCTAAATAATTTGTTTATTGTTTTGTTTTTTAATATGGGAAAATTGTATGACATCCTCCTTCTTATCAAATTGCCCCAGAAACTTGACTGCTTGAAGCTCCTATGTCAAAAGCAGGGATATGATGCAGGTCTTTTCTGTTGGAAAGGTAACTAAGCATTCCTCTCTTCCTGCTGGAAATTTTGGTACTGTAGCATCATCATGCACAGACAGAAACAACCAAGAACTTTTGTTCTTGGGATCCTGGCCTGGAGCTTTGCATTATGAGAAACCAAAGGAGAATGGAAATGACTGCAAATTTCAAGGTAGGAGCAACTGAAGAAGAAACGGGAGCAAGAGAAACATGTAAAATTTCTGTTCGTCCAAATCCTATTTAATCCGCATTATATTTTTCATCAAAACTAGATCTGTTTAATCAGAAGAGCATCGCGTCAAACAGCAGAGAGCATGACACCCAGCGTGCTGCGTATCAGGGCATCTGAACAGAACAAACACTTTACAATTGTAAACAGCAAGCAGAATAATAGTGCAGGATAGAGCCAAACTCATGTATTTGGAAAACCAATGACTGTGATCTGTTATATCACCTGTGTGCTTTGAGTATCTACTTTTCAGCAAGGTTAGTTGAATGAGACATAGATTTTCAAGACCCAGCAGCCTCGCATTACTTTACTCTAATGGGGAACAGAAGAGAGCTGCAGCATGTTCCATGCACATAAGCGATTCTTTGAGGCCCGCTGAAATGCCAGTCATTGACTTAAGCCGAGAATAAGTCCTCAAGTGCTTGAGAACCTCACTTCTGTGCCTGTATGTTTGGTGCTCCAATAACAGGAGGACCAAAGAGGCACTAGCTCCAGCCCCGTGTAGTGTATGCAAGTACTGTATCAGCATCTCTTGAACAGCCTGGCCAGAACACCTCGCACCTGACTGGCAGGCAGCCTGCAGGGCTTCGATCTTGAGCAGAGCTTGTGACCTTGCAGTGGTTCACTGACATGGAAGAGCAAGGACAAGAAAGAGACCTGCCAGCTACAGGTTCAGTGCTCTCAGGTACCGAGCTTCTGTGGCAGAGGAGAGCACTCAGCATCTTGCAGTCTCTGACCCTCATACTAACTCAAGAGCCTTAGCAATTAGAGCAGATGAAAACCACGCATATTCCCTGGTGTGCTACACAGTCTCTGCATTCTCTTAGGTGCTTAGCAGCTGAATATTTGCTATATCTTTTGGATGGGGCTACCCAAAATCTACCCCTGCATTGGGGCAGGGTTTCTGCCTAGTTGTGGAGAGGCCACATATGCAAAGTTGCCTGGGCAAAAAATAGGGAAAGGAAAAGGAATACAGTTCAGTAGTTGAAGAAACAGTAAAGTGCAAGCAAAGCAATCAAACAGATCTGCAGAAACCAATGGAGCCAGGTAGCTTGTACCAGCTGAGGATGGGCAGACAGTTTAGGAATTTGGGTAGAGAAAGGGAAATCCGGTCACATGGCTGGACTGGTGATCTAAAATAGAGAAGGAAAAAGTCCTCATCATAAAAGCCCTTGCTCAAGGGATAAAATCACTAGATTAAACTTCCCTTTGCCAGTCAACCAAGGCAATGTGATCTGAGCTAATCACAGGAAGATGCAGTAAAAGATTAAGAAAAATGATGTTGGAACTGGCTCAGCCAAGTCAAACTGAACAGCACACCGTGCATGTTCCAAGTCAATGTCTGTCAACTAAATTGCAGTACCAGCAGTTGTACCTGCCATCATCATCTGTACTGGTGAAATCAAGATATCATAACCTAACTCAAGGAGAGCAAACTTCTGTAAAGCCACGTTCAGTTTGATGAACCTAGATTAAGTACCATCTCATTTTTGCCACATGTTCACCATGAGAGCTAAGATGCCTTATTCTGTCCTCTTTGCCCTTAAGCGGCAGCTTAAACAATAACTTCCCATTAATAGCATCAAATAGTATTTCAAATAGATAAACTTTGGGAGAGAACTAAATTCCAATCCATACAGAGACAGAAGAGGTTTGAAAAAGAATGAGAGGCCAAAAAGAGCCATTGCAGGACAAGTGCTTCAGGGTAGATTACAAACTGAAAACAGAGCAAGCAGTATTTAATCCACAGTACTAGGCAGACAACGCTCATATTGTCCTCTTCTGGCTTTTTTGTAAACCACAGAGCGTAATTTCTGAAGTGAGTGAGTGGTACTGTATACCCTGGCCCAGAAGACTGCTGTACAGACTTCATTGCTTTCCGCAGTGGAGTTGTTGTCAAAGGAGTGCCAGTCATAAGACCTAAAATGTGCAGACAGTCCAGGTCAGATCTTCAACATCAGTGGATTTCTCCATGAAAGAATAATGACCAAATTCCTGTGGTGTTAATGTCAGGAAATGTTCTGATTCTGGGCCTCCAAAACTAAGAACTTTTAACTGCTAATTTAGATACAGAATTTTGATTATGTATGTCAGAGCTAACTCCATTCACAGAGGGAGATGCCCAACTTTTAAGGCAGAATCGTGGTCAGTTTATGAACAAGATTATGTACTACAGTTGCCTGCAACCACAGAAGGCTGGTCTTTGTGGTTTAAAAGATTTCTCCCCTTTGTGGAGCCTTGATGAAGAGTATGAGACTGCCTGTACGGTAACATGCTGACTAGCTTAGGGAGCAGCCCTGCTCTAGCATTTAGTCACAGACTAGAGGATCATAATGTGGGTAGACCGGATATTAAGTCCTTTTCACAGCAAAACATGTGAAAAGAGAGAATGCAGCCCTTAACAAAAATGCACACATTGTAAGCTTGCCATTTCTCTTAATCTCCTCAGCATATGTATGAAAATGGTTGCAGAAAACTTCAAGTCTTTTTTGTTTTTTCATAAAACCGTTAACATTGAACAGTGCTAACAAAAATGTATTTGGAAAAGCCAGTTAGCAAAGTTTAATTTTAATGGCTTATAAGGAATTGGTCATTTTTGCTTTTGCCTTACAAAAAAATAGAAGTGGATAGGCTATAACAGTTAATGCATCCTTAACAAAATTGGCAAGATAATGATGTCATATATTTTTTCTGCATTTCTTTGCACCGTTCTTCATATCCTCTCAGAAGCCCTGAATTGCAGCACTGAATTGGCTGTAGAGCTGATTCGAATTCTTGGCATTTCACTTTTTAGATACATTTTTTGTTGTCTTCCTTTTTCGGTTTTTTTTTGGAGGATAAATTTTCTCTCAAGTCTTCAGGATTGCCTTTGACCAGTTTGAACAGTTAGAAAAGCTCAGATTTCTAAAATGCAGTGGCATTTCCAGAAAAGGAAGGGAATTTTTAGAAGCAGGAATCTTTTCCTCTCACCAGCTGTAGGTTTTTTACTTACACTGCTGTTTATACACAAATATTAATGTAGGTATAAGCATGGCTGTGAGCATGGCTTAATGGTTATGAATATGGTTAATACCCAGAGAAGACTTCATTTATACTCAGCAGAAGGACTGAGAAATATTTTTGTCCTTTTAAAAAAACATGCCACTGAAATGGCTTTATGTTTTACAGTGACCTGCAATCATATCCCCGGAGCCAATAAGATCTCAAGGCCTGATCATGATATATTGAAACCAATGGAAAAATTCCCCTTGTTTCCAGTAACCTACGGATCCATCCCTAAAGCTTTGATTCAGCAAAGACATAACTACATTTTCCATTTATCACTGAATCTAATGGCACTAAGAAGTGCTTAACAGCAAGCAATTGTTCGGTGCTTTGTTAAGTCTGAGCCCGAGAGGTGATCAGCACCTTCAAGACTGCATTCTTACCGTCTTGAAAATGCTGTTATATTATCCTTTGGCTTCCAGATTTGTTTGTGTCCTCTGCAGAACTGTTAAAAGTAATGGGACTTATCCATAGCCTGTTAAATCAGTAGAAAGAGGAAGCGGAAACGTATTCCGTTTCAACTTTCTTGAAGTTAGAAGCTTGGAAAACCTTCTACGAAGTTGCCCAAGAGACCATAACATCTTCGTATTAGACTAAAACTTACGGCTCCTTAAAAATAGATTGAGATCAAGCATAGTAATTGAACCTACAGTTTTAGTGAAAAGCTGCAGTGTCTGTGAAATCAATTTTTCAAATTTCTAATTTATAGACTTTATCAAAAGAGTAAACTAGCAATCTAGATCTCTTCAAATCCCAAGCGCAGAATCTTATCAGTTTTAAGCATTAATTCATTCTCCCAATGGAGATATCACTGAAAGGACTTCATATCACAAACACCACACAAAGAATAACATCAAGCAAATAACAGCATGTGCTCAGTACGAGAAAAGACAACTATTTATTTAGCACAGCGAGTTCAATCATTTAAGCCTTCAATCTCACTTTGATTCTGAGAGAGATGAATTTGCTCTTCTCAGCCTACTTCTCGCTGGACATTTGTTCTCAAAATGATACCACCACACAGCCTGGCACATCAAGGCAGAACAGGAGGTGTCTGCGAAAAACGGGTGTCATTTGCAGGTCAGGACTGAAGTGCATTGTCCCAGCTGCATGCTTAGGAGCTTGTACGGCATCTACGCTTGATCTACCTGACTTAAATCAATGCTAGGCCCACACTTTGAAAAGCGCTACAACACAGTCCAGTATAGTTCAGTATAGTCTAAAAGAAGTGCCTTATTTTAAAGCAAGTAGCCCACATGACTATCGAGGGAGGGGAACAGTAATTTTGAGCTTCTAGCACAATGGGGACACTGTACATTCAACAGGTCACTAGCCGTACATTCTTTGCAGTGATAAGAAACCAGGATCAAAAAAAGAACTCAGGTGCTGCATGGCAGGAGGTGAGTGGCACAAAAAAGACATCACGGACACTTTGTGTGAATGCAGGGGGACAAATGAAGGGTCGTTTCCAGGTCTGTTTTGCTTTTTCTGACAAAGAATGTGGCTTAACCCAAACTGCAGTAGTATAAATATATATATGTATGCATACATACATACATACATATACAGAATATTCTTGAAGGTAGGGTTGTGTATATACACGTACACACATGCACACATGCACACATAAACACAGGTGTTTCCAAACCACCAAAAAGCTCGGTTCCAGATAATGACTCTGAACAGCAGACAAAAATGTTAAGTAATCACAGTAAATTGAAGATCCCTTATGGGCAGGACATACCATGTTCACTGCCTAAGGAGATTTAGCATCTGGTTATGTGCCCAGATGATGAGCTGCAGTCGCATCACCATTCCTGTGGTGTGTTTCCAGATGAAATTACTGGCCTTGCATCTGAGTGCTCTAAGAAGGGGTTCAGATATGAACAGAAGTAGTTAAGGTCTTTGTCTGTGTTGGCTGAGAACTGTTTTTCCTTCTTCTGTTACCAAAGGTTAAAACGAAGATATAAAAACACTTCAAAAAGAAAAGGAAAAAAAAAAGACAGACTCATATGAAGCAGTGTTTCTCTTTCCTCCCCCTGTATTTGTCTATGCTGCTTAGTGCAGAGTAGCTAGATGCTACAGCTGTTATGTTATCACGCACTGCTAGAAAGCTCATGCACCAGGGGCTGAGAGGGAGAGAGCAGGCAGGGCAGCTAGAAGCATCTCATGGAGACAGGTCTCCCTCTTGAAAACAGAAGTCACCATCTGAAAACCACCAACCCTACATTGACAAAACATGAATCAGAAGAGGGGTAGCTGAATTTCCTTCCTCATGAGCAACATAACCAAAACTTCCCTAAAGTCAAGAGCTTTGTGCTTCAGAGGTCTAAGGGAAGGAGAGCCCAGGAACGGCCATATCACACCCCTGATATGGCAGGAGGATGTGGCCAAGGCACTGTCAGGGTTTGGGGGGTCTGCAGCACCCCCAGACCCCTCAGTCTGGGTGCAGGCAGGGGAGTGCAGCAGCCTCACTGTGTCCTCTTGCAGTCGCAGCCAGGGAGCCATGCTGGGACTGCTGCTGAGCTGCGGTCTCTCTTTCACGTCTCTGCTCTCCCAGCACCTTTAACGCTCCTTTCCTATTGTTTGCCCCCCAATTAACCTCTGAGCATCTGCAAAACAATGAGGGAAAATCAGTTCTTTAGACAAAAATGGCATTATAGAAACACCCAGCCATGGTTCCCTAGTTCAATAATAAGAAATTTTCCGGGCTCTAAATGATGTACTGTTAGTAGGAGATACGTTCAGAAAACAGGCAAAAAGTGCTTTAAGCTACCAGGATTTCACCTGTGGCTGCAAGCACTTGGTCCAAAAACAGTGTGAACCCAACATACGCATATCCTTTATCTGTGCTGGTAAAGGTAGACATAGACCTAAAACTTTAGCTGTGTGCAATCTGTTGTTCGTCTGAAGGCAGCATCGGATACTCCCAGAGGCTGCATACCTTTGGGAATATTTTAGGAGCCTTGGGAAAAAGAAGTGGATGACAGATCTCACCATAGGAATAGCCAGGCTGTGTCAAAAGGCCTTGTGTTTTGGGAGGCCATTAAGTATGCAGCAAACCAAATTTGGAGGTAAATAAGAAAGACAAGAGCCAAGAGAAGTATTACCAGATTGGGTCAAACACATCCACCATCCTATCCACTAATCTTGCCAGAACCAGATATTGCAGAGACAATACTTGAGGAATGTACACCGTTCTTTTGCCTGGTACCCAGTGAATTTATACATCCAGGCTCAGTTAAACACATATCACATAGGCCCTTTTACTGATCTCTATTGATCTTACTCCCTCTTCTCACAGCCTCTGCTAAGCATCACTCTCACACCTTGCCTGTTAGCTGGGACTGCTGTTGAGCTCCAAGGACTGAGCTCCAAGCTCTGTGGTTCGGACCCCATCTAAGCTCTGACTCTATTTGAAAACAGAACACAAGCAGTGCAGCAGCACAACAGCCAAAAATATCCTAACAGAAGCCCTCAGAATAATGAGATCTGCCCACTGTTCTTGGTGCTGTGGGAAGAGTATCAGCCAAAGCATGAAACAGTCTCTCCCTGTTGCCACCTGCCTTCCTTCTTTTCCTCCTCACAAGGTCTGAGATACTCACCAATGAAACCGTTGCGCAGGAAAATTGTTTCCAACTTCAAAGCATGCAAGAGCCACAAATCCCTGCTACTGTCATAGGAAGGAGGAAAGAAATGCCTCTAGGATAGATGGATTTCCAGCGCCCGTGAATGGGGTCCCAGCTATTCTCATGGGGTCCTAGATCCTGTCTGCCCCTAAGGGTCTTTTGTCTCTTTTGTCTATTTCCTCATGTACAGAGAGGAAAATGCCTTTAGTGGGAAAACATCCAGATGAAAGGCCTGATCCAAAGCCCCAGCAATGAACAGAAAGAGTCCAGCTGACTTGGACTCTGAGGTCACAGCATCCTGCAAAGCCCAGCCTAAATTTAAGAAATACTAGATCCAAAACAAAGTCTCTCCATCCCCAAACACTGCCCGTAACAACCTTGGCAAGCCATGGGATACTGAAGGTTGCCCACCAATGTGCAAAAAAATAAGCAGATGGCAGCTGCTGTCTGTCTGCCTCAAGTCCATGTGGGAGTTAGCCAGGTATCTCCACGCACTGTTAACTGCACTGTTGGGCACAGTATGGCCCCTTTGCTCATTCTCCAGCTGGCAGCTCAGCCAGAAAAAAGACTTCACATGATGTCCTGAGGTGCATACTCGGTTCTACCATGCTGCAGTCTCAGCCTCCAGCTACAGCCAGCTTGTGTTCTCTCTGGGGTGCTTTAGAGTTGTTTTTTTTAAAGTAGGGTTGATGAGCAGCAGGTACACAAGACATCTATTAGAGATCACACTTTGCTATTTGGGTCAAAGAGCTGCCTTCTCCTGTGATTGCCCAGTGCTTCCCCTGCCCTGGGTGGGTGCTGGATGAACATCAGCCCAGCACAGTGTCAGGAGAACTGGATCTTAGCACTAGGCTCTGTCTCCACTTCCATCTTCTTTACCGCAACCCAACTTAAAAACAAACCAAACAGAAACCAAAACACAAAGCGGGGACTCTGGATGGGACAAAGAACACTTTGGAGTTGAAAACAGGGGACTGCAAGAAAGATGGGGGTGTCTCCCAGGGAGGACAGCAGGGGAGGGGAGGGGACACCGTCATTTACACTGATCAGGAGAAGCTGTATTCTATACACAGTGGTATAAGCCAAGATATATTACATGAAAGAACACACCGAGTGCATGGAGTTACCCACATTGGGTCAAACTGGCACAGTTGTCCTGAACAAGACTCTTGGATTTGCAGTTGGTGTTTGTTGTTGACCTATCTAGCTCGCTCTATATATATAGATATGTATAGAATTTTCTGCATGCATTTGTCTCAAAAGGAACTGTACAGCTGGGTTGGGTTTCTCAGCCCCACCCCGTCTCCATCTTCATTTTTTCCGGGCTAGGAATGCCACTCCCACAATCACAGCAAGGGCAGCCACCGCCACTCCTCCAACGATGATCAAGGGCTTCATGTTGTCAAAGATGCTGCCTGGCGACTCCTCAGTGCTGTTTCCCTTGTGGTCAGAGTCAGGGGACTGGCCGGTGGCCTCTTGTGTCTCCGTGGCAGCAGGACCGGGTTTCGGGTTGCTGTGGTTGTTCACGACAGCAGCATCGCCACCTGCCTTCTTGGTGGTAGAGGTGGCAGCGGCAGGGGCAGGCTGCTCTTTGGAAGGGGTTTCCTTCTTGTCTGCATTTGTGGCAGGCCCAGGGTTGGGTTTTTCTGCCTTTCCGGAGCTGGGGGCCTTGGCATCGGGTTTGTTTCCGCTTCGGACGTTGCCTTTGGAATCCATTCCTACAAATGCTGTGGGCAGTGAACCGATGTCAGACGTTCAGGGCAATGCCAGCTCTTCTCCTTTGCCCCGCTGCTGGAGAAAGCCAAGGAGCCACCTCAGGTAGATGACTCAACCCCCTGGAGCGATTGTCTTGGGATGATTCTGACACTGGTCGTGCCCTACCTGGGCATGATACAGCACCTGGAAGAAGAAGCAGAGGAATGAGATGTGAGTGAAGAGGATATAGGAAGCCAGTACTATTCCACCCAAAGGCAACAGGGAAGGAGAGAAGACAGGACTAGAAAACCGTTGGCCCTTTCTTTAGGAATTGTGGGCTGTGTTCAAAGCATCTACTACAGTGCCTGCACAATAAGCAATTCAGACCGACTGTCATCTCAGGCTGCCCCAACTAGGCTCTGTGTATAACAGAGACAAGCCACAGCATCTGAAGGGTGCTGAACTGAATCAGGAACCAGCATTGGCAGGCCTGGATGATCTACATCGGTTATTCACTCTTGAACTTAGCTTAGTAGGTCTTGGAGTTTGACTTTGGACCCCATGGTAGGTGCCCTGAATACAGCCCCATATTTTCTTCCTTGGGTTTACAATGCTCAGGGAAATGTGGCTTCTGTTCTCCCAATGGGACTCTTAAGTGCAACTGTAATAAAAGAATCGACGGAAGACAGAAGGAAAGAAAGAAAAAACACAACCTGATCAACAGTACATGTGAGCGTGGGACCAGTGAAAGCAGGATGGGCCCACAACCAGCTGTGCCATTTTGAGCAAATCCTGGGGCAGGTGCTTCACTAGGACTGTACAGAGATTTTACCCTTCTTTTTAGTCATGACAACAGGACATTCATTGCCAGTTTCAACTAAGGCTAGCTTATAGCCACAGAATAGGCTAAAAAAAGGCTAAAGGCTAAAACCTTTCCTGAGAGGTGTTGTCACAGTAAGTGTGATACATAAAAACTACAAGCCTGCTCGTTGGACCAGGATACTTGGCAAGAGCAGTGCCACCATTCATCAGGCAGACAGTCTCTCCCAGTTTCCCGCCTTCCACTCTCCCAGTTCTGGCTCGCCTTGGTCTCTGTGCCCCTCTTACCATAGTTCTCTTCCACCTACACAACCCTTCCACCCAATGGCAGCTTTCACACTCAGTATGGCTGAAAGTCAGGGAATACACTGAACTACAACAGCACCTCTTTTAACATCTCCTCTATATCTGCCTTCTGCCATGATGCTGGCAAGCTCAGAGTACAGATGGGTTTAGGTGGGGCTTCATTTCCATATTCTTTCATTACGAAGGTGACTCTGCAAATACCAATGTCCACACACGTTCTGTTCGGGTTGCACCTGGGGTATCCTACCCACCCCAGCCGTATATGCAATGCCATTTGTCAGTAACAAGATACACTCATTTCCAACCAAATAGAGCTTAATTTTCATTTGCTCACCACAGCTGCTTTCCTCCTAGGTTAAGGAGAGAACATTTTGTTCCACGGGAAAGCAGATCGATAGCTGCTCCCTGCCTGTAACTCACTGTCTACCCTGTTTGTTTTGCAGCATTATCCCAAGCTAAGTTTAGGGAGTGGTAAATGCGTGATCTTGTCTTATGTTTTCCATCCAGATGGGTGCTGCAGAAAAAGCAGGGATTAATTCCATGACTACCATAGATATCAGAGTTACAAGGCTTATGGCTGTCTGTTTTTGGTGGAGCTACTGGAAAATAAAGCAAAGGCCAGATGCTCAGCTGGTGCAAACTGATGTAATAACTCCAGTGCAACTGCATGGATTTACCATAAAGGGGATCTCACAGTGACTGTGCAAGACTGGCAGCCTCACTCCTGTCTCCTCCTTGCAGTGGTTAGCTGGGCTCGCCTGCGATGCTGAGCACTGTCGCAGGTACCAGAGGTGATTAGCTGGAGCCGTTTTCGCCAAGAAACTGATGAAAGCAGTGAACAGCATGCATGGATCCAGAGAATTCAGCAAATGGACAAAATGGGCTTCAAAGGGTTATAAAAGCACAACAAAAAACATCACCAAAGCAAGCCCAGCTAGGTAGAGGTCTGGGCAGGGTACACTGGGAGATGGAGCTCCCATGGCTTCAGTACCGTTACTACCCAGAGGAAGAAAAGGAGAAGCGGCTGCAGGGCCACTTGCCATTGGGCTTCCAGCAGCGCAGCACCATGTCAACTTAGTGCTTGGAAAATAATGAGTAAACAAGAGGCAGCTGTCAGATCTGAGTGGCCTGCTTTATTACCTCCCTGCTGACCTTCAGCCAGGGGCCTGCCCAGAGCTTTCGCCTGCTAAGTGAAATATGAGTTTATTAACTGTCTGGATTTAGAAATAAAGAGGATCCTCAGAAACCTCCATAGCCAACAAGTCTCTCTGGATAGACGTTTGTTCCAAAATGGCTCGTGGGGTCCAGATCACTCCTTTCATGACAGACAGGGAGAAGGTCCCAGCAACGGTCTATGTTGCTGCCTCTTTTTCATTTCCACCTGGGCAGAAAAGCTGGACTGGAAGAAACCTACTCACAGAAATATAGGGTTTGGGTTCAGAGGGAAACAGGGCAACAGCTTACTGCTTGGTATGAGACAGAAACTACTCTTTCTCCTGCTGTCCCTTGTGAGCCATTTCTTGTCTGATGGCCACTGTCTTCACCAATGCTAGGAAATGACGGGGGAACGCCAATGCCAAAATCATGAAAGTCCATAGCTCACACTGCATCAGGCTTGGTGACCATGATACTAGTACATAATATACTCCCTCCAAACAGAGGAAAATTTTCCTGTTCAGGTAAAGCCCTTAGCAGTCCACATCCCAGTCAGGTCCACTCCTCTCCATTCTCCTTCCCATATATAAGAGCTGATGTCTTAGCCAACACGAAGAATTTAATCATTAGTCTGCAAGGAGGTATCTCTTCCTCTTGAATTCAAATAAAAATCCATCTGAAAAATGAAGTTCTCACTGAAC